CCCAGGAATTTGTTAAAAAACAGAAAAACTTAAGAAATAATCAGTTCTTAAAATTCACTTTCATGTCAGCAGAAAATAAAAATTAACAACCTAAACACTAGGTCTAAGTTCACATTGCTCATTATTTCAAGTACATTTTTATCCAACTTCAAACTTGTTTACATTCTAAATAGGCACAGAGATCGTTAAACTCTTTTTTATCTTTCGAACTGTAAGACAGAAATTTAGGTTCCATATTTGAAAGGAGAGATGATGAGATATAAAGAAATGATGCTATGTGCAGATCACAGAAAACAGCTGAATCAAACCAACTGAAATTTCAGTGATTAAAAATAAAACTACATTTGCAAAACTATATTAGCCAGGCTCATGATCCAACTGCATTGTCAATTATGCTCTTGTGTACCTTTGGGGTTATCCCAAATCACATGTCAAAATTTTTCAACTGTTAAGAATACCTGACTATAACCTAAAATCAAACTATCATTAGCACAGTGAGAAAATGTCAAAGGCAGTACACACACTCTCCCCTATCACCATGCTTATCACTTCTGACAAATTATACTTATTTCTCAAATACAAAGACAAAATTCAAGGCAACCAGTAAATTACACAATTATGAAATGCTTTTTAAAAATTTTAACAGCCACCAATACCATTCAGATTTTGTCAAAACCCTAACAATTTATTTAGAATGTAATGCATTATGCAAAAGAAACTACACTGTGCAAAAGATTCACACAGATTTCCTTTAATTAATAAAGGAAATAAAGGAAATCTGTGTGAATCTTTTGCACAATATAGATTAATTTTAATACAATATAATTTACCAAACTTTAATTTACTTGAAACCTTCAGTAACCCTGCTGTGTCATAAAAGGTTATGTGCCTGTTTTCTTCCAACAACGAGGTGAATTTGTCATTAAAAAATTTTACCCAGAGGTCACCTTGAACTACCAAGAAAACACACACACACACACACACACACACACACACATGCACGCACGAAAAAACCAACAAACCGAGGTTCATTATCTGTGTGAATGTATCTAAACTACAAGTAAATAAATCAGCCATATTACCAAGCACAAAGCTATTTAAATAGTTAAGATTTATTTTCAGGTGTCACGGAGACTAAACAAAGATTGTAAGGAATAAAACAAATAAAACAAAACTCAGGGAAATTAATCCATGGAACTATTATCTTAAAAGCAGCATTCCCTATAGAACAAAGTGATGAAGCTATCAAGAAGCACTTCTCAAAGCAATATTTTTGCATGTCAAAAAAAGAATTAGCCTAGAACAAATATATAAATAACAGTATGTTCTGTGTTAAGCCAGTAACAAAGAAACCCCTTAGTGGAGTAAAACAAAGTCCTGTCAAATCTCCATTTTTTACAAAGAAGCATGAAGATCCTTTCACAATGGTTTAAACTGTATTTATAGTAACAGAGTGAAGTCTTGAGATAAAAGTCAAAAGGATTAAAGTCAAAGCCCCAGCTCGACATGAGTTATGGTTTTGATTTTATTCTTATTGTGGTCTACAAATATTAAGACAGAAGATACTTCCATGTGATTGTGGGATCCTCTGAGACTCTACAACCTTAGAAGAGCAGATAAAACAGATGAAAATGCATATGGTTTGGGAGCAGACTCCATATTAAATGGCAATGCGCAAAGTAACAACTACTACTGCAGAAGGCTGTGGGGGAGGGGAGGAGGCTAAAGGCTGAAATTTCTGCAACTGATGCAGGGCAGAAAGGAAAAAGATGGAAAAAAAAAAAAAAAAAGATGTGGTATTACTGTTTTAAAATGGCAGCCTGTAAATAATCTCTGCATTCCTGAAAACACAAGCAAATTATACCACCATTCCTTCTTTCATACCCTAAGCAAGCCTAACACATACAAGCATTACATATTTCTTTGAGGAAAATTATAGAGCTTGATAGCTGCATCTATATCTAAAACAAAATCCCTAGAGTTGCCACTCAAGAGTTTACAAATTTGGAGCCCTATACTTTTCTCACAAAGAAAATAGAAATTGTTGTAAACTGGAAAATCTTAGTTACACTAAAAGAATTATTCTTCTTCCACATATATTTTTCTTTAAGTGAAGGCAAAGCTACATGTATACATAAGCTTTTGGTCATAGTTCATAATATCTATTTTGCATTTCCTCTCCCCTGATGTCCTGTCTTTCAAGAAAATCTCACACACACATGCCAGAAAGAGAGATACATATTATATAACATACTCTGCATGAATTGGAAGATCACTATTCTTAACGTTAATCTGCGTACTCTCTCTTTAGTTCATATACTGCAAAAACCACATATTGAGTTATGCATTTTCTGTCTATCCTGAATCTTTTAAGATCAGACACCTTACTTAACATTTGAAGAAAAGGTTAAAAGTCCCTAAACACAACAGCAGAATCATCAGAAGCATTGTAAAATATAAAATGATAGTATCCATATCACAGAAATGCTTAAAATATCTTTTTTAAAAATTGAGTATAAAGAAATACTATCAATTATAAAAGTAAAAGTATTTTATCATGCAAGTTTAGAAGACAGTTCAAGTTCATATGGAATCATGTAATCATAAAGAAAATTTTTAAAATATATTAACCAAATGTTAATTTGGTTAATAGTAATAAGCAGACATCAGTATTATCCAAAAGGATTGATTTCTCCTTTCTTCACAAAATATGAAGTCACCTATACAAATCACAAATTTTTGAAAATAATATTTTCAATAGAATTCCTTGCAATTGTATTCAGTATTTTAACTGTCACATTTTGAACACATACACATTTATACAACTACCAGGGGAAAAATAACTTGAACCAAATTGAAAAATTACCATAACTACTAGTTCAATATGTCTGGTTAAAACAGAGACATCTGGTCTATCGTTCTTTTGTGTTGATGACTCCTAGTGTGTCTTTCCCCATCAATGAACTTTTCAAGAGAAAAATTCAACTTTTAACAAAAACCTGTGACTTAGAAATCTCTTTCAAATTGTATCAATACAGATATGTCATGATTAGGTCAAATCAAACACAGTACTTTCAAGAATAGTAACGTATACTGATTGAATACAAATGGTTAGCTTTAAATTCCATCAGAGTAATGTTATTTATTAAATAATTCTCTGCAGGCAGATATGGCTAATTCATGAATCATTATTTTCAAATATTTATAAATCAACTCATTGTTCACTTGCTTAAAATATACACTGAAGCTCTCTAATAGTACTTGATTGCCACTCCACGGAACCTGAATAATGCATTTTCAGAAGCCTTGCACACCCCCACACAATTCTGAATTAATGGCCGAGCAAACAATAAGTAATGTACTATGCTCCAGCAAAAACTCAGTGATAACATCAATTTGGCATCTACTTAACACTTACTGCTTACTTCTCACATATTCCCCACAACTTAGTTTCCTCTTCCAGATGCAGTTCATTAAAGAATCACTATCACCTGCCCATTCATCGACAGAGTGAGAGATTTAGCGATTAACACGATCACAGATAAGGGGAGAAATGATAACATACAGCACAACAAAATTAAGAGATGAAGTAAAGGGGCCTGGGCACTCCAGCTACCAATAACTAGATTGCAATTAAAAAGGACTTTGTCACTTCTTCGCTGGGCAATAGGGGCAATTATCTAAAACCCTTTACTAGAATCCAGATACATACCAGAGCAAGGCCCTTCAACCAAACTCAGATAATTACTTTTGACAAATGTTCTCCTTGAGCATAATGTAGTTACTCAAATGCTTTTCAAAATGACTACAGTTAGAGTAAAACAATCTTTACAAAGTCAACCCAGTAACACATCCTGCTCCCTCCTCCCAAAACCCCCGCTGCATGCAGTCTGCTTTCTTTTGGCCAATTTATAACAGATAGTAAGTTGGTGAATAAATATTTAATTTATGCAGCCAAAACCCTGAAAGGCTTAGCTTCAAATGTAATGCCTAGCATTCCCAAGACGCACTGTACAGAAATATCCTTTTGAAAAATCCTTTTACAGCTGTCCTTTAAAAGAAGAAAATGGGGGGGGGGGAGAAAAAAAGAAAGAAAAGAAAAGAAAAACCCACACATATACATGCATCAAACCGAAGACGCCGACGCCCCTCTGCCAACCGGCATTTCTATAGAGACATTCTTTCGATGATTAAAACGTAAGCTCCGAAAGGTTAAAGAAAAGGAAAAGCAGCCAAGTAACACCGCCCAGGAAGCCAGCAGTAAAACATACCTAGCTGTACACTCTTAATAACCTCCCACTACAAATGACACTGACCCAACTTCACCAAACATACACACACCCCGACACACACAAATTGCACACACGTGCACAGAATGTACACACAAACATCGAGCAGAGCACAATACCTACAAACACAAACGAACTGGAGCCACACAAAACATGCACGTATCAGTGTGCACACATAATGCACACGACACGGCACACAGACACGCAACCACCTAGCCCACATGCACACGCCCCACAAGTCCGTGTCGGACACACACCGTGCATGCACGTGTAAAATGTTTGAACTCACAAACGCCGAAAATACACACAGACTGTGCACAGAGTTATTGATGAAATTCCGGGGGGTGGAGGGGCCCGGAGGGAGTGGTAATTGCCACACAAAGGTCTCCGGAGCGGCAAAGAGGGAAGTGGAGCGGCACCGAGCGCTCGGAAATTCACCCGTGGAGAAGGCACAGCCAAGCCCAGAGAGCGAAGTACGGGGAGAAGTGTCCCGGGCGGTCCCGGACGCGGGGCTCCCGGAGCTAATCGCTGCGCCCCTCCGCGCGCGCACGCACACACACAGGGGCCCCCGGGCGAGCCCACTCCCGCAGAATAACAAAGAGCAGGAGCCCGGCGAGCGGGCGGCGGCTCGGGCTGGAAGTCTCCGCCGCCGCGGACCGGCGCAGGGCGAGCGGCGGGGCCGGCGGGAGGCGGGTGGGGGGCGGTACGTACCAGGCGGGCAGCCTCGGCCCAGGTGCGGTCCTTCTTCTTCCTCTTGTCTTTCATGTTTGCATCTCATTGATGGTTCTGATGATGACGTGGGGGATTCCACGGGGTGCTCGGGGTTCGGGCGCAGAGACAATGACCCAGTGACCCGGTGACCCGCACTCGCTCCGCGGGGGGAGGCGCGCGGGCGGCGGCGGCGGCGGCGGCGGCGGCGGCGGCGGCGGCGGGTGGGAGGGTTGGAGCGAGGGGGTGGGGTGGAGTGGGTTGGGGCGCGCGGCGGCGGCGGCGGCGGCGGCGGCGGCGGCGCGCGGCGGGCGGGCCGGGGGCGGGGGCGGCGGCGGCGGCGGCGGCGGCGGGGGGGCCCGGGGCAGGGGCGGGGGCGGCGCCGGCCGGGCTCGCTCGTGCGGGGCTTGCGCTGCGCCACCGCCGCGGCCGCCGCGGTGACAGCTCCGGGGATGCTCCGCTCGGCCCCGCTCACAACAATACACTCTGACGTCACGGGGAATGGCGACGCGGCCGCACACTCGCCGCGCTCACACTCACCGCGCTCACACTCGCCATCTCGCGCGCGCACACCCGCGCACACTCGCCGCGCGCCCCCCTACTCCAGCCACGCCCTGAAACCCTCGCGAGACCCCTCTCGCTCCAACCCAGCCGCCAAATTCCCGGAGCGCTGCCCACTCCGTGCAGGCCGTTCCACCCGCTTCCCCTGTCCCGCTCCGGCCGAAAGCCCCGGACACTGTGGCCTTTGGAACTTGTGTAGGAGTCCGCCCCGCACCTCGACGCCCCGTCCTGTGCGCTCACGCGTGCACACTCACTCACAGGCACTCGGCACTACTCTCCTCTGCTGGATTCCCTTAACCCTGTCTCTGGCTGGGGAAACTCCGAGAGCCTTGCTGAAAGGGTACAGAGCCAGTGTCTTTGGATACAGAATTAATAGTGTACGTGCAACTTAACACAACGTTGAAGCACCTACAGCATCTCAAACAATGCAGGACCAAAGTGTCGTGACCATGTATCCACGCGATGCCATACCGTAGCGCTAATTATTTTTAAACAGCGTGTAGTCAGCATTCCTTAGAGTAAAACATGATGCACATGTGAAAAAACTGAAGAGCTAACGCTTGTGTATTTTTTAAATTATTTATGATTTTTAGGTCTGGGATACAGGAAGCGTTGGATTGTTACCCGTATTAGCGAACTACCAAAAAAATGCGTTAAGACTTAAAAGTTTATGGTAACCTTTCCAACTTCATACATCTCTGGTGAATTGTTTGGGTCAGTAGAGTTATTGTTAAGCAATGAAAGAAATGACGCTGTGATCCACACAGTAATTATGTGTATTTGTCTTGAGTATCTGAAAACAAAAAGGTCACTTGTAATGGATTATTTAAAGTTATTTCCTGAATATAATGTTAATAGTATTTAAATAGTACTTTGTGTTTTTTCATATACATTATCTCGTTTGATCCTAAAAACAACGTAAACATATATATTTCCCGTCTACTGTACAAATGAGGAAATGAAACTCAAAAACATGACAGTGTATCCAAGATCTCTTGCTAAATCATTTTAAGAACTCAAGTCTTTTGACCCTAATCTCATGTTGTTTATTCAATTCCATACTGCCTGTTTAAAAATACTCATGTCTGAAAAATGAACACTTACATCTAATGAAAAGATTTATGTCTGAGAATGGGAACAATTATAGTAAGGTGATTCCTTTGAGAGCACTGTAAAATGACTGAAGTAATAAAAATGTTTGATTACCAAAAATTAAGCAGAGACAGTTCATAATCATAAAGAGCTGCATATGATAATTCTTTTAGAGTATTTGTTTTATTAATTCATTAGACTGAGAAAAGGCTATGCATCAGTTTAAGAAAATATCAGAAGATTATCTTCACTCTTTCTTTTTTAAAAATGGATTCAGAGAACACGCTGCAGTTATCCCTAGGGGAAAATTTTATCCATGCAATTTGCATAATTCTATCCAGGTGTATTATATTTTTACTTTACATTTCAAATATATTAAATGTGAATCACGTTCACATCTGCTTTTATTTTCCAGAATTCTCTTTATGGTTGAAGTAATTGATATATTTTCAAAGTATTTTGATTCTAATGTTTTTCTTCTACTCAGAAATACCTATTTTAAGCAATCAGACCATAACATATCATTTGTTATTTTCTGTGAAATAGCGCTTAATAAGAAGTTTTGGAGCCAGCTAAAGGAAAACATACATACTCAGATATTTCACAGAAAGGTCAATTTCTGGTTATTAAAGAAAAAAAATGTATTGTCCTACTTAAGCAAATGTAAACTGATGGTTTAAAAAAAAAGCTATTGTTTATGCACTCATTCTCTGACAGTGAGCTGAGTATAAATAACCAATATTATGAACTGACTCTTAGATTCTGCCTCACCTTTTGGGTACTTGACTATAAATAGTCCATACCAGATAAGTCTGATTAAAGACTTGGTGAATAGTCTATGTCAAAATGACATATTTTACAGAGCACCAGAAGAGGTGTAGGCCACCATTTCAAAGAGGTCATTGTTAGACTTATTTCTTCTACATTTACTTTGTGTCAGGGGCAGGGAATAGATTAATCAATTACAGATCTTTTATAATTTGATAAATTATAGCGTAGCTTTTCAACATAAAGTGAAATACATTATAAGAAATGTACAAGTAAATTTCTGTGAAAATGAGAGAAATAACTCTGTCGGGGAAATTAAATAAACCTTCAGAAAAGATAAGTTTTCAGGTGGGATTTGAGGAATGAGTAGGATTTGAATATTCACATTTCTAAAATGGAGAAAAGCTTTTTGAAACACAAATGCAACAAATGTCAGTCAGGACAATTGAAAACTAGGAAAATATTAAAGTAGACGAACACATTCAATTAAATTCATATCACATCACAATATTTCAAGAACTCTTTTCTTAAATGAGGAGAGAGGAGTAACTCAGAGAACAAGCTTTAGTTAGAATTGCCTATATATCCACCCTTTCCTGGGTTCCCATCCCAATTATACAGTAATGGAAATCACACCAGATTTCAACTGGCATGTAACAGCACCTTCTCTGCATTCCACTGCTTTCTTCCTTTCCATTCATTAGTTCTGAATCCAACAATTCAGACTTTTGTGCATATCTCCTCTCATCAATGAATTAATAAAACAAATACTCTAAAAGAATTATCAGATGCAGCTTCCAGCCGGTTTTTTTCATTTCCTGTAATGTTGATTGCAACCTGTTTAACAATCAATAAACACTTAATAGATATATAACCCAAACAGTAAGAAATATTAATGTACATATGACAAAATAGAGGTGTTGGAAAATGGTTTACCGGACAACATAGAGGTTTACCGGAAAATGGGCTAAGTTAATGTGAAGCTCTGAGAACAAGAGACCAGACAGAGATGAGACACCTGAGGATTTGAGGAGAGACGTTTGTTTATTTCCACAGTCCCTCAAGAGATACAAGGTTTCACCTTGGATCCTAATCAAAGAGTTCACCAAATATGGGAAACTAGGTATTTCAGGCAGGGCTAAGGGGCTGGGATTCCTTTGGATTCAGACTCCTTTTATACATGGCTACCATCCACATGCCTATTGAAAGTTGTGTGAGGAAGTCTGGGTTAAATAGAAATATCTTCCATTCCTCTCCCACAAAATCCCACCAGCGGCCACAACACACAGCAGGAGATGGAGAAGGGAAGGAGTAATAAAAGATGAAGGGAGAGAATGGAGGCCACGGTTGCAGGGGAGGTGGAAGAGGTCTTTGTTGGTCTTGATGGCCATGCCTTATGGGTGTTATTTCTGAAGCAAGTTTGTTTATTATGCATAAGTTTAGAATCTCTGACTTTTCAAATAAGAACATTTAATAATTTTATTTCTTCTAAACATCTTTTGTTCATAATCAATAAGTATCTAACTGGTCTGGAAAATCCGTGAAGGTGATCCCCTTGTCTCCTTTGTCCACTGCTCGATTCACTAACTTTCAAGCAGTAAGGAAATTCCCTGTTATGCTCTAAGGTGCAATAAATATTTACTGAATAAAGATAAATCACTGGAAATAAAGGAAATTGATCCCTTTTATTTTTAACACAATAAACGTCCAGCAAATCAAGATGCAGTTTTATCATTTTATACTTACAATCATTTTTTTCTGTCCTACTTATAGTTCATTGAACAGTTGAGGAGATATAAAGTAAAATAAAACCAAATATCAGTATTATTCATTATGTGCAGTCAAATATTACCGAGTGATGCTTCTCAGGGCAAATGAATTTTGACGTTGTCTCTTTTATTCTACTCCTGCATTTCCTTTACTTTTTGAGTCCCTCATTATATCTATTTAAAGTCAGTTTATCCTATGAATATAAACAAATTAACTGCACTTCAGGAACATATAGAAATCTTAATAAAATTATCTGAAAGTAAGTTTACCTAAACATGGGACAATTCTTCTACTACCACATGAGTAGGATTACTGTGATCATTTTGTTTTTACTTGCAGTCTATGACAGTTTAATACTTTAATATTTCAACATATTTTAATAAGATATGTAGTTATAGAGAAAATTAAATTTTCATTTTCTTCAAAAGTTCTCTTTAGGTGATTTTATTTATATTGTCAAAGCATATCATTAAAAAAATTAGGGCTTATTAAAAAAATTGAGACTCATTTTTAATTCTCTGGCCAATTTGTAATTCTTTGTATATTTCAGTGCACTAATTGAAACATAAAATTATTCATGATATATCCAGACCCTTAGCAGCTGAAGTCTTCTTAAATCTGAGGAAAGTAGAATAAAGTAGCTAAAAATATTTCCATACTGGTTTTTTTTTTTTCACTTTCTTAAGTTGCTCTTTTTTCTGCTTTATCTCTCTTCTTTCTTTGTGCAATAACAAACTCTCCTTCTGAGTAGAGCCCTTCATTCAAGAATTTACCTTTTCCCTCTTTAAACCCTTAATTAGGCATAGAAAACACAGTCTGATTTATGGCCTAGCGTTTAACAGGACTCACACTTCATCCTTTACACAAAAAGGGATACACATATTCCCTAACAGCACCACTCATTAGTTTATACAAGACGAAAAAAATAAAAACACTTAGCAAACGTAAATAAAGCTTTGCTTGATACTATCTTCTTATGCATATATAATGTGATCAGAATTTCAACATTGCAGTCTAACAGCTTTTTGCTTATTTTCAAAACTACAAATTAGATTTCTCTAGGTAAACTCTAATTCAATCCCACATTTAGTGGATAAGAAGGAAAATTACATGCTGCTAAATTCATCTTTATGTAGAAAGAATGTTCTTAGTTCACAAAGAAGACTAGAATTCTGATTACAGCTACTGTCTCAGACATAATTTAATGGAATCTTGGTCATGTTACTGATACGATATTTCCCTCAGTTTTTATGTTTACCAAAAGAGTAAATTTTGTAGTGGAAGTCCCCCAAAAAGA